TATCTATCTATCTATCTATCTATCTATCTATCTATCCATCTATCCATCTCTCTGTCTGTCTGTCTGTCTGTCTGTCTGACTGTCCATCTGGCTTCGTGTATGTCTTTGTGTTTGTCTGTTTGTATGTCTGTTGTCTCTTTTCCTGTCTGCCTGCCTGCCTGCCTGTCTGCCTGTCTGTCTGTCTGTCTGTCTGTCTGTCTGCCCGTCTGTCTGTCTGTCTGTCTGCCTGTCTATCTATCTATCCGCCTGCCTGCATGTTTGCCTATCTGTCTGCCTATCTTTCTAAGTGTTTATAATCTAGAACCTGTCTGTAATAACACCTCTCATTCTATGCACCAATGATTGTATGACTAACATCTGTTCCTTTCCCAAGGTTTGACCCGTGTGTCTACGGTGTAGTGGTTAGAGGCACCTCGTCGTTGCTCGCAGAAGGCATGGGTTCAATCCCCGCAAAGGGAAGTAGTCAAGTCATACCAGAGATATCTCCAGGGACACATTGTCTTATGACCCGCTCAGAGTGGGTTCGCGGTGTCAAACAGGGTCGGTCGGTCGAAGCAGCCCGCTTCCAGATCGGGTCGTTAGGGCCGTGAAAAAATATACAATCCCTCAATGAATGAAAGCGTTGAACCTACGCCTAGCTGTGGTTAATTCCTCTATTTGTGTAGCTGTTCTAATGACGACAGAAGCCTTGGTTTTCTTGCGGTATAACGTCGTATGTACCACCAGCGTAAATAATATGTGGTGTACCGGTTAGACACTTGTACGTCGCACGCAGGAGACGGGGGTTCGATTCCGTTATCGTGACTATTTATAGTTCTTTGTAATTCCACACACATTCTGGTATTTTCGGGACCGTGCGAATGAGAACGTAGTATCTTCAATGAAGCAACTGTGACAGGTGTGCGGACTAAACGTGCAGCACAGCACAACAGGGATAATAATATTTTATTAGTTAGAACAACCCCGGACGTTAGATTTAGATATCTATCTACTCGATGTGTATGTGAAACTGCGGAACATCACTTTATAGAATTTTATTATTCTCCGCGAAGCATAAGTTCTGCCACTCCGCGAAGTCAGGCAAAATTCGGTCTTATAACATCGTTTGCTCCGCGGAGCCAGCCAAGACTCAGTAACTCTGTAAGTCTTACCACTTCGTGTGCTCCGCGAAGTCAAGGGAGACCGACAGTCAACGACAAATGATGTTGATGATGATGACGATGATATTGACGACATGATGTCGACGTCTTCTTGTACCTGACGACATCCGCCCTATCTTTCTCAGGTGAAGAATCTGTTCATTAAGTCTATGTCCTCGCTAGTGACGTCATCGCTCCAACAACGGCTGGCCATTCGGCCGGACCCAGGTGGTCCCATCATGTGCAAGATTTGTGGGAAGATGTTTTCTAGTCAGAGCAGTCTAAGCACTCACAAACGCATTCACACGGGAGAAAGGCCCTATAGGTTAGTGCTTTCTGTGTGTCTGTGTAAAAAAATAGGTGGAGGGCGGTGGTTTTATCTTTCGCTCTAGGCTAGTTGTAGCCGTAGTCGTAGTTCTAGTCGTAGTAACGCTGATCTCAGAAGATTTGTTCATTGGAGAATATCTAGATATTATTATAGCATATATCTTCTGTCCATTGATGAATTTCAAAGCAATATTTAATCGTTAATTATTCATTATTGTAACGGAAATTTGATAATTCGAATAGCGATACAGATGCTTTTGATAGCAATTGTACAATACAACGTAAACTAATTTCCCACTTCAATTATAAAGAAAGTCATTCAGCCATTGAAGTAGCAGAAAGAGAAATATGATTTTAAAGTTTGAAGTAGCAGAAAGAGAAATATGATTTTAAAGTGAAACCGTGACTCTTTCCCGAAAGTTCTCTCTTACTGGTCTACAGCAAGGATGTCTTGTCATTCTTCCGTTATTCATTCAGAGGGATTTACGAATTGTTCTTGGTGTGCTATAAATGTTTTCCGGTCATCATTTGAAATTGGAGTAGCTTCGTTTTAAAATGTTATACTGAAATGATAACGGACAATTTCTAGCAGTCATTGTATATCGTTTTAAATACCATACCATTATATGTTCGCTGAATATCCTTTTCTTCATTTTAAGCTGAAATATCTTTCATTGGCTTCCAAAATCGGTCGCAATCCGATATATTATGAATTCAATGAGCTTTGAAAACTGTCTAGTCTTTTATCCGGGCGTTTTTATTCATGCTGAAAATAAATTATTTTGTTGTACCAACGTCTAGATCTTGTAGGAACATCACAGACTGAGGCGGGAAAAGAATGATGTGAAGAATAATGCGAAAAATATTGTGTGGAACCTTCTTAACGAAATTCATTTTTTTTAAAGAAAGAGAACGAATGAAAGAAAGAAACTTTTATCAGAAGCCAAGGAAAAATTCTCCACGTCATGAATCAAATGCTAAATGTAATCTATCGCAATGTCCAGATTTTTGCTGACCCTCTGCTAATCTTGGTCACCACAGATGCTCGTCGTGCGGTAAAAGCTTTACCCAGATCGGGACGCTCCGGACACACGAACGCATACACACGGGGGAGAAGCCCTACATTTGCAAGGTCAGACTGTCATTGCCTGTCGTCATGTCGTATGTCTCCTCAAGGTCACCACTCACCAATCATTTACCAACAAACAAAGAAAGAAACAAAAATGAAAAGGAAAAAAAAAAAAAGAAAAGAAAAGTAGAAAAAAAAGAAAAATCCAATCATTTGCTAAAATAAAAACAAAAACAAACAAAAAATAACAAACAAACCCAAACAGTTTAATTTTTTTAAAAATCTGGTGATATTGTAGTGATCATTTAGCTCGAAATGTTCGCCTGTTGCCTACGTATTGGGTTTGTTGTTTTATTTTTTGTGGTTTCTTGGGGGGGGGGGGGGGGGAGGTCTTCCACATTGGAACTTACTTGATCTACTGCGTTACACACATCCGGGGAATTCCCCACTTTGTTTGGGGACGAAAAAGGGTCGCCGTGACGTCATTCGCGTGAGACACTTCTTACTTTAAAATGTATATCTTTTTAGGGAGTGGGTGAGGTTACTGCTACTCCCTGGCTCCTCCTTACTGCTGTCTTTTCAGCCACACCCCTGCTCTTCTGGTAGGAAAGATCTACACTTCGCCTTCTCGGACAAGGGCGAAAAATCTCAGAGGTCCCGTGTGCAAGTTGTGCACGTTAAAGATCCCTTGGTGTCTAAAATCGTTAAGAGTTGGCTTCGGCCGCCCCCCCCCCCCCCGGGCAAAATTCAAAATTCAAAATTCAAAATTTCGTACCAACTGAAAATGTTTAGTGTGTCCCGCACACTCATATGACCTTATGCAGTTGCGACGCCGTGAGACACTTACTCCAAAAAAGGAGGTGGTGGGGGGGGGGGGAGGTCGCTTTTTCAATAAGGACGTATTGGGACACGACCTGGTGGAGTGCGTGAGATCGAATCTCGCATTTACCGAGTTTTGTAGATTATATAGATCTATATCAGGATCTAGATCTAGCTCTAGCGGATAATCGATATCAGGATTATCGGTTTGCTTGTAGGTTGTTTTTTTAAGTCTATGGTTCCCAGACTCAAATACCGCTTGGGTATTGTCTGGAAACCGACGTTTTTGGGTCGTGGGTGCTCCCATTTAGGGTAGGGGTTTACAATGTGGTCAGACGTTAGTCTTAAACCAATACAGAGGCTGATGAATGTGGCCTTGCTAGACGCTCTCAAACAGTACGATTTTTTACCCGTGCTCATATAATTAAGACACACACATACGTGTGTGTGTGTGTGTGTGTATATATATAG